CAACATGCAACATGCAACATGCAACAACATGCAATGAGATAGCTGTATTCAACCAAGTTTTGTGTCTAACATGCTAATGTAACTCAAGCTAGATCACAACTTACCAACGCACGCGTTATTCTCTGCCCGAGTACCCGTGGGGCATGGGGCACATCGATAGGATCCGTCTGTGTTGATGCATCTTCTGTTGCCAGTGCATTTAGCGAGATTTGTTGCACATTCATCGATATCTTAAACAAAGAAAGCAAAGTAACAATGACATGACATTCAGCAAAGCAGCCAAATAGCAAAATTTAGAAACAACCATTTGAGAACTTGGCCTGGTTGTACGAAGGGTGGATCCAATGAAGTTATCCATTGGATAAGATTTGTCCGTCGGATAGCGCTATCCACCCTAGCTACCTTATTGTCTTCTAGCAATACTGTTATTACTTAAGCGCATCTGGTAGTTCTGTAGTTTACATTCAGTAGTCCCCTTCACGGTTCCCTGCGCCATCTTGAAAGGTAGCCGTGCCTTTGCATCGAAGCGAGACGAACGGTGAGCATGCAAAGTTAGGGACCTTTTTTTTAATACCTTAGACAATTATTCGCATGTCTCTATCATTGCAAGCTCACCGTTCGTCTCGCTCCAATACAAAGGCACGGCTACCTTTCAAGATGGCGCAGGGAACCGTGAAGGGGACTATTTCGCCTGAAATTTAAGACATCGTTTTGCTTACCAACACAACCACTCGCGGTTGATCGTTTTCCTGCTGGACATGTAATACGAGTACAAGTATACGATCCCGGTGTGTTTCTACAGACTGTTCTCTGGGGGCAGCGCGCTTCTCCGTTTGTGCACTCGTTTTTGTCTGAATGAAAAATAAAATAAAACAAATGCATGAGCACTTATTCTAATGCCATGTATTCAGTGACACCTTAATATTTTATTGACACCCTGAAACAACCTCTTGGTTAACCTGGGCACGGTTGTCTCTCAGATAAAAGTAGAATTTATGTTGGGTTTTGCTTTCGGAAGAAACATGCATTTGCAGCTCCTCAGCTCTTAATATATATGTGTATTTATTATTGAAAAAAAATCACATTCTTAAGCTATGTTTATTTATCGATCACTATTATTGTATATTTTATAGATGTGGGGCAATTGGGAACCAGCCCTTAAACGCTGTATTTGATAGGCAATAGGCGATAAAGGCAAAGAGCAATAGGAGATACTGAGGTCATTCCAAGATCTAAGAATAGCTGGAATGACTTGTGTTTCTGCTTCTTATTCTCGTCAAGAACATGGACCTTAGTGTTGAGCTGATTCAATGTTGTTTATAGTCGTCGAAACCATTTCTGTCTCGGAATGACCTATTGCATATCGTCTTTGGCGATGACAACGATTTTTCGAAATAGGTGTATGCCATTGAAAGAAGGGTAACAGCACTTTAATTAAGTGGGGTTTTGGTTTGAGCAACTGACCTACACATCTGTTGTTATCTGCTCGGAATCCTTTCCCGCATGGAACGCAGCGATAGGAGCCATCAGTATTGATACATCGTGTATCGCTACCGCACGGGGAATTACCACCGGCACATTCATCGATATCTTGAAAAAAAAATTTATTTATTTATTTAATAAATGCGCTCAAACTAGAGGCCTAAATAGGAAAACATCGCGTCAATTCTTAGGCGAGTCTGATTTCGTAGGGTTGTGAAAAAAAACGGCGCACGGCGCTGTCAGTCCTATGGACTAATGGACTACTTCGACGATACGGCTGCCATCTTGGATGGCAAGGAATTATGGGGCAAAAAAGTTTTATTGCAGTAATGACGTCGATTGATATCAATAGCTCACCAAAAGAGAATACAACAAATGATGAATTAAGACGGCACGAATTGTTAATCTTTTATGATGAACTTGTTAAAATATTTACATATCAAAGAATCAACTCCAAAGAGTGGCATCACATGGTCTGAAATGGGACAACAAACAACGAAGGCAAAGAGCTCTATAGTCCTTACCAACACAACCACTTGCCGTTTTTCGTTTACCAGCCGGACATTGGTTAGGTCTTGAACAGATGTAGGTGCCAGGTAGATTTCTGCACACACTACCAGGAGGACATCGTGCCTCACTTGTTCTGCACTCATCTTTGTCTGATTAAAATGATATAAAAACACCAAGGACTGAGAAGATCTTGGAGATAAAAGCAAGAAAGATCAAAACAGGCCTTTTATATATATACATACAGTGGAATCTCTATAATACGGACATGGAAGGACAAGTAAAAGAAAGTGTCCGTAATTTAGAGGTGTCCTTAATATAGAGTTCACGTCTATGAAACAAAAAATCATGATGATTTAGAGGGACCTAAATATCTGTCCGTAATATGGAGGTGTCCGTCCGTAATATACAGGTTTCCGTAATATAGAAGTGTCCGTAATATAGAAGTGTTCGTAATATAGAGGTGTCCGTAATATAGAGGTGTCTGTACTATAGAGGTTTCCGTAATATAGAAGTGTTCGTAATATGGAGGTGTCCGTAATATAGAGGTTTCCGTAATATAGAAGTGTCCGTAATATAGAAGTGTCCGTAATATAGAAGTGTCCGTAATATGGAGGTGTCCGTAATATAGAGGTGTCCGTAATATAGAAGTGTTCGTAATATAGAGGTGTCCGTAATATAGAGGTGTCCGTAATATAGAGGTGTCCGNGTAATATAGAGGTGTCCGTAATATAGAAGTGTTCGTAATATAGAGGTGTCCGTAATATAGAGGTGTCCGTAATATAGAGGTGTCCGTAATATAGAGGTGTCCGTAATATAGAGGTGTCTGTACTATAGAGGTTTCCGTAATATAGAAGTGTTCGTAATATGGAGGTGTCCATAATATAGAGGTGTCCGTAATATAGAGGTGTCCGTAATATAGAGGTGTCCGTAATATAGAGGTGTCCGTAATATAGAGGTTTCCGTAATATAGAGGTTTCCGTAATATAGAGGTTTCCGTAATATAGAGGTGTCCGTAATATAGAGGTGTCCGTAATATAGAGGTGTCCGTAATATAGAGGTGTCCGTCCGTAATATACTGGTTTCTGTAAGGAGAACTTCCATTGTAGTATAAATGATTTTCGCGATGCTTCGATCAGCTTCCAATTCCAAACCAAGTCGTTCACATGCTTGTTAGCCACTGGCTATTAGGAAATGAATATATAAGAGAGGAAAGATTGCCACTCGACTTACCGACACATCTTTGGCCAGATACTTCATAACCTCGCGCACAAGTACATCGATATGAACCAATGGTGTTGACACACGTCTGTTCGCTACTGCAGGTAGAGGTACCTCGTTCACATTCGTTGATATCTACACAACGACAATAGTATTAAGTGCTCAGGCGAGAAAGATCTGATGGTACTTAGCAATGAATGAGGGCAGATCACGTGACTAATTTCCCGCCAAATTAAAACGGGTCAAACTAAAGGGAGTGCACACTAGATAAAAGTGATGAAGGATACATCACGATCGTGTTGATCTTTGAAGCTGTTTTAGATCAGGAAAGTCAAATAAAATAAAATTACCTTGGCAGGATCCTCGTACCAGTTCATATCCATCATTAGAACAGGCAGCCAGCAAGGTAGGTGTTGGCTTTGATTTTGGGATGCATCTGTAAGAGCCTTCTGTGTTGATGCATTTTTGGTCATCTGAACACACCGGAGTACTCATCGTACACTCGTTGACGTCTGTAGTAAAAAAAAGTTTATAATGAATAAAGAATGAATAAAGAATGAATATATATGGAATATATATGGAATATAAAGACTGACTGAGTGAGTGAGTGACTGACTAACTGACTGACTGACTGACTGACTGTCTTACCAAGGCAGTTTTTGCTGTCACTGGCAATAAAGTAACCATTACGACAGTAACAAATAGGGTTTCTTGAGCTGTCTTCCCGACAGATGTGCTGACAAACACCCGCAGCACACCTTTGTGCTATTGGTTGTTTTGTAGACGGTGCAGGAGTCAAAATCGGAGGTGATAATGTCAAGTAGGGCGATGCGGTAACTTTCTGGCCTATGAGGGAAATGAGATATTAGGAAGATTGAAAAGCTTGCTTATCTTACAGTGGCAAATACAACCCGTGTTATAAACGTGGTCGTAATCTTTATAAACATTGCCATTGTGGTATTAATGTGCAACCATGTTGAAAATAGGTTTCTGTCACTTTGCTTTATTGGCATGGATTGTCCAATGGATTTCTAGTTTGCAATTTAAACAAAAAATATCAACCAAACGTAAATATTCTTCATCGTACGCACGCACGCGCCCTTTGCATTTTATAAAATAAATAAAAAACTTACTTGCTGTACTGTGTGGAGTTATAAAGCACTTCGGGATTGGCAGAACACTCGAGAAGTATCGAGAAGCTTTCCGCTACGCGTCGTGCTTCTCCTAACACTTCTCTCGTGTTCTGGCAATCCCCGCGTGCTTTATAACTACACACAGCACGCGCGCGCGTTTTCTATTTCTTCATATATATGCTAGAATAAGACTTACCAGAACAGCATTCCTGGTAAACTGTTTTACATGGATCATTCCACTTGACCGTATCACAGCCCACTCCAACTGAACGAGCCTTGATACCCAGAGCACAACAATCACAGCACTCAATGTAACGATCAGCACCAGCATTCCCGTGAGGTCGAGCACAGGACTTTGCTTGGCTAGAATAACAAATAGTGGTATTTAAATCTTGCGAATACTAAATATATCATTGTGTATACACCTATTTCACCTAGATCCAAGAATAGCTGTCTTGTTTTTCGGCTTCTTGTTCAAACTTTTTTATTGCTTTGGCCCCCTTTGTTGGGATGTAGTGTGCGCAAGAGGTCTATATTGCAATGATTGTGTATAACGAGTGTCGACTTACAACGCCTGGTATTTGCCGCGTTCACATGCTACTTTTTGTAGTTCTTTGACGCAACAGACTCTCTCAGACATTCGACACACCATCCTATCCATGACACTTGTGAAGGTGCGCCTGTCTAAGTCATCTTTGTTGCAAACCTCAAAATGACCTTTGAAGTTCTCTGCTTTTTGTCTTCCTTTGATGCAGCATCTGTTTACCCAGTCTATCATGGCAGCTGATGAAGATTAATAAGTTAAATAGGTTAGTAAAGGAGGAAGGAAGGAAGGAAGGAACGGACGAACGAAGGAAGAAAGGAAGGAAGGAAGAAAGGAAAGGAGGTAGAAAGGAAACAAGGTAGGAAGGAAGGAAGGAGGCAAGGAAGGAAGGAAGGAAGGAAGGTAGGAAGGAAGGTAGAGGGAAGGTAGGAAGGAAGGTAGGAAGGAAGCAAGCAAGCAAGCAAGCAAGCAAGCAAGCAAGCAAGCAAGCAAGCAAGCAAGCAAGCAAGCAAGCAAGCAAGAAATATCCCAAGCGTCCATAGAAAAATAAAGCGTTATTAAAAGTGCTATCCTTAATATTGATTCTTTTTGCCCTTTGCTTCCTTCCTTACTTCATTCTAATTCTGTAAAACGATGGAATGGGATTCTCTATTGGTTTTATAAACCTGAGTGTCACATTTTGGTTATGCGCGCATCACGGCCCAATTAAGTATGTCATTTTTCAGCGGTCTCGCTTTCTGGATGCGCGCCACACCACAAACCTGGCGAAACTTCTCTTCCCGCGCGCCAACTACTTTATAAGGCACACGTGTCTATACCTCTTGAAGGATAGTTTCCTGTCGATAGGATCAACTACGTCTATTAGCACAAATTTGACGTCATGTAAGGCGTGAGTACTCATTAACCCGATGATCGCATGTCATGTGTTTTGCTTGACAATAGTTCGAGGAATTGGGCAAAAGAGAAGAGAAGASAAGACAAGACAAGAGAAGAGAAGAAAGATATTGTCAAGAAAATATCCACATAATAGCAGTTGACATGAAAGGATTATATCACTTGTTATGACAGACAAAGTCTTTGCTTGTATTACAAACAACAGAAAAAGATGATCAACAATTATTTGACATTTTACAGGAAATTATAATATCTTTCTTATCCTGTTACTTATTATAATATTGAATTTCAAAGCAAGGCAACCACGAAATAATAATTTAAATGCTTTTCACATTTTGGGCTCTTAAAATTAGCATTTAAGAATTGAAAAACAATAAGAACTTTTTTAAATGTTTGAAACTTATAAAGCGCAACTTTAACATGCGTCTATGATCTAATGTACAATAAAAAATAAAAACTTTAAAAACCAATGACAACTTGGTAATCAGATAACTCCAGTTCGCATACCGCGATTTCTCTGGTAGATAGTCCAAGGGAATTGCGTTGCTCTATGGTTTACCAGAATCTGAGACTAATTCAAACCTATTCAGCACCCCTTATTTCTAGAAACTCTTGAGTAATACGCGTATTCAATCTATACCTACTTAAAGAACAAAAATTCTGTGATGTCTGAGGTTACGCGGCTTCGTCCCAATGGTAAAAGTGGTCTTGTGTTTCATTGTATTCTGCCTCTCGAGGCTTCCGTTTCAGTTTTAAGGGAATTCAAATCAGAATTAAGAAACGTATGTCGTATGAACTATGGGAACTTTCAGCTCGAGAAAAATATTCCAGATCTGTTGGTTGCGGAAATTTGGTATGTTTAAAGTGAAAAATCTGTTTTTGATCCACTAGGACACAGAGTATGCAAGGTATTTTGATACACAAATGACACGTCCATAATTTCAAAGTAAAAATATTTTCAAAATATTTCTCGCGTTTTTTGTGAAGATAAAAGCCACGTCAGTTTAGCTCTGGTGTGGGTCTTCATAAATGCTTCATTGAAGACAAAGCAAAGCATTCCGAGAAGACAAACTCGAATGATTTGAAGTGGTTGAAGTCTGGCTACTTAAGATAAAAGTGTACTGTTTGTATTCACTTATCTAGTGCATCAAAACATTCTTAATTCACACGAAGTATAAAATACCCGATAAAAGGTTTGTTGGAATACGAAGGATGAGGATTTCCCATCATGTGTAAGATAACTTCAATATGATTTGAATTCGCAGGATGATTGCTAATTCGGCGTTATAGTTGTATTGCATGATTGCTCACCTTGAGTCAGTCCTACGTAGGCAATAAAGACTACAAACACAAGAATTAGAGAAAGGCATCTCCTAGTCCAAATAAAGCCAGTCATGTCGCTGCGAATCGATAACTAGGCTGCTCCAAAGAATATTTTTACGATGGAATCCACAGCGCGAGAGTTTCTGACGCTTAACGACGACAAGCGAACAGATCTGGAAACCCGACCTCGTCTTTTGTTGCGTGTTCTGAACGTAACCCTATATCTCAGTGACCTCTCTCTCTCTTTCTGGTATGTGCTTCATGTTTTTCTCTCACATTGTCATTTTTGGTAAGCCAGAATATCGATCTGGCCTGGCGCACGATCAATTTAAAAAATCCGGATTCTTTTGATAAAGTTCGGAAGTTGGGCGGATGGGTGGAACATTCGATCAAATCAAATGCGTTTATCACGAGTTTTCGAGGAATCTTTGTAGATTTTGAACGTCTCAGGAGGTAAGGAATTAGGAAGACCTTCTCAAACAAAAAAGGGAGTGATATCAACCCAGGCACCACGTGATATCAACCGGTTTTTTTAAGCTCGACAATACTGCAATGTCGACTATCTACCTCTACGTCGCTATGCCGTGACCGTGTCGCGACCTCGAGACTATGATTTCATTGGTTACTCTCACCCCCTTGTCGTTTCATAGTCATGGAAAATCCGTAGACCTCATCTTGTTTTAGCACCCCTTCCGTATCAATCGTCTAACCTCGTTTAATCTTAGTCAGCTGCAGCCTCGTCTGAGTATGGAAAGAATCCAAGGTGTGGGAGCTAGAGTACTGAGTGGTTAGAGAAATGCAGCTACTTGACGTTAACCTCACCTTCACACACGTACTTGTGCAACCGCGTGTCATTCCCTAGAGTATCATTTCTTTGTTTAACGGTTGCGGTCGCACATGAGAAGACACATATACAACTCAAACAAATTATCTTGGAATAACACGTGGTATGAAATGGGAAAACATTACGCCCGATCCGAGGTCTATTTCTTATCACAGAACCATAACTAGGCTGCGCGTATGGCTTTGCTAACAGCCAGTTATGTTTTAATAGCGATCCATTGTTGAGTCTTGTGCAGCAGAGAACGTACCAGACTAACGTTACCGATTATTTACACATTATTATCTAATTGCAGTTGATCGTCGGTCTGTGAATGCAGAGATAAGAAAGGTTATACATGTTACTTTGTAATGTGCTCAAGTGGTCAGATAGCGAAATTCCACGCGAAAAAAACAATACCTTGGTCAGTATGCAGTAAAAATGGATGGAAATGAATTGGATCGTATATAGGAATATTATTGTACGTGAAATGGATTGGATTAACGTATAGGAATAAGAGTGTACCTGAAATGGATTGGATAAACGTGTAGGAATAAAAATGTACCTGAAATGAATTGGATGAACGTGTAGGAATAAGAATGTACCCGCCTGAAATGGACTGGATGAATGTGTAGGACATAAGAATGTACCTGAAACAAATTGGTTGAACGCATAGGAATGAGAATAAACCTAAAATGGATTGGATGGACGCGTAGGAATACGAATGTATACCTGAAATGGATTAGATATAAGGAAGAGATAAAATCACAATATACTCGTTGTCTCACATAGTTAGTCTAGTTTATATAAAGTATACACGCAGTACAGAAAATAAAGAATACACGCGTCGATATTTTACGTTTTTGATATCTGTTGAATCTGTTTTATTGAAGAAATAGAAAACGCGCGCGCGTGCTGTGTGCAGTTATAAAGCACGCGGGGATTGCCAGAACACGAGAGAAGTGTTAGGAGAAGCACGACTCGTAGCGGGTGTTCTGCCAATCCCCCAGTGCTTTAGAACTCCACACAGCACAGCAAGCAAGTTTTTTATTTCTTTTATAAAATACAAAGTACAATAACCGTTATTTTAGATAGGAATGACGCAACTGAAAGTGCGCGTGCGTGCTGCGTGTTCTCATAAAGCACGCGTTACCAACCAATCAGAACGCGAGATTTATGACAGTTATTCTATAATTGATGTTTCTAGAGCATGGTATCAAACGTTATCAAAAGTTTTAGATGAGTTTGATATAATTATACAAACAAGTGATAATTGACTTCGTTATAAAATCAATGAATAATGATGAATAAATACTAAATATCAATACGGGAAGAGTAAGCAAATATTTAAATATCAAATCCACGTGATCATATGTATCACGTGACGCCAAAATGTGTGCATATATACATTTATTATATAGATATCGATGAAATACCAGGTTTTCTCTAGTGTCGAAAACTTGATATCTTTCACCAGTGGAAGATACCATATCTTTCTCACGTAAAGATATCGCTGTTGAATCGGCTTGCTATTTTAATAAAGAATTTGTGAGCTTTTGTTTTATTTTTTCATCGATATCCATATAATAAACAGAGCATTTCATGGCCGCTTGGAGATACGAATTTTATCTTCTCGTGTTCAATTTAGATATCTCACTCTATCGCTGCGCTCACTCGTGAGATATCAATTGAACACTCGAAGATAAAATTCGTATCTCCGCGCGCCCATGTAATATCCTCTATATATATTATATGCAAGGGAAAATAAGTAAAGATAAAAATCTTTTTTAGATTCAGGTTATACTCATTTGATAATGGATAAAAATTTTGACTAAATATTAAATTTTTCAAGTGCTTGGGTTTTTTAAAAAACCCTCGAATAGATTGATATAGATAAATAATAATAAATAATTTTCCATTGATGTGTCATTTGAACATGACAAGTTGACATGACAAGTCTTACTTCACGTGACATTCGTCCGTAATGTTGGAAATTTTCAAAATCGTGTGAAAATATGGAATTATGACTACAACTATATTCCTTAAGTTCTTAGTATTTAGCTCTCTGATTGGTTGATTACTATGGCCGGTCTTAAATATAGTTTTGTTAAATCTCACCGTTGCCGTAACTACGCATTGTGATTGAGTGATTTACTGGAGGACAATTGGAAACAATCTCAATGTTACGACATGTCGTACCATGTACGTGCTCTACGTTACCCTGCGAGCAGAGTCTCCTTTTAACTCCTATACGCCCGTAGAGGAGTTGAGGAGACTCTGCTCGCAGGGTAGCTCTACGTTAGTATCGTATGTTATCCACTCGTACGATAACCACTCTAGCTCCGGCGATTTGTTGTAGTATGCTGGTATAAAAAAAAAAATGATTCACGCGAAATCGTGAGTCAAATTTCACATGGGAGTTAAAATTGGCATGCTCGATCCAAGATGGCGGACAATTATCACGCGACTCATTAGTACAAGCAGCAAGAGAGAGGACATTTTAAATATAAGTCGAATACCAAAAAAGATATCTAACTTTTGAACTACGAGATTAAAAATATTTTAGTTTTTATCAAGTTATAATTAGAAAGCCATAAATATATAAGTGAGTGGATTTGATGTAACGCATGCATAATTGTCATTGGAGTAATAGAACAAGCATCTCTTTCTACATCGTGCCTTGAGTCTTCGGTTCATTTGGTCAGCGTTAAATTGGTTTCCGCAAAAAAGCCGGATTGGATATGTTAACTAGATAAAACTGGATTAGAATATGCGTTTAAATAAAGCTTAAATGAAGCCCTGTTCCACGTAGAATAGCTTGCTCTTGTAGAAATCCCATGACTTGATCATGTGACAAAATGCCACATGACGATCTCCTTGATATTAAGGTCGGTCATTGTTGTTATGGCAACAAGTAATCTTATAGTCCCCGGATGTGCGCATCAGGGATACTCGGTAATGCCGACTCAATTTGCCTTACATTCTTCCAGAGAACAGGTTGAGGTATTTGTAGGCAAAGATCCTGGCAGAGCCGAATCTTGCGGCGCGGATACGAGAAGAGCAGTTTCAATTTATAGTGGACAATAACAGGTCATGCAATATCGTAACGGTGAAGCTAGCTTTTCCAAGTTTGAAAGAAAGAATAATAAAGATCTTGTGATGCATAAGATCGTGGAGAGCAGCTTCAACAATTTATAGCGGGCATAACAGGTCGTGCAGCATTGTAAGGGATGAAGTTAGCTATTCCAATTTTGAAAGGAAGAATGATAAAGACGTTGTGGAGTTGAAAGTGACGTCACGATCGAGTTCCACAAACCTGTGCAACACGAAACTTTAAGTTAGCATTGAAACTTGGAACGAGAAACGAGTAACACGGGAAGTCCCTTTTAATTGCTTGGAGGAGTTTTCCAAAGAAATTCTTCTTTTCCTGCTTTCTTCTTCTTTGAAAATGATAAACTTAATCCCTGTCCTTACGTATTCATTTCTCTATTCGTTAGTGCCATCTACATCCCTGGCGCCATTGCAGGATTCAACAGTTACAGGCTCTGTGGTGAATTCAAGGCGTGCAAAATTCTTTATCCTAAACTGTGGTAGTTGTACTTGAGCTCATGGCATTGCTTAGGGAGTCATTGTCTTGTATACTCTCGATACCACCTTTCTTTGCAAGAATATTTAATAAGGTATCAACTTTACTTTCTAGTCTTTTGATGTCCTTAGACATCTGTCGAAACTTGTCTGTCATGTCATGGCTAAGAATATGAGCGTCTCCCTCACAATCTGTACAAGGGAGATCTGAAAGAACTGGCTCATCGTTTTCTTCTTGTCCATTGTGTTGCTCGCGTTGTTCATCATTTTCATCACCCGTTATCACCGAAGGTTGTAAAACGCTCATGTCTGTAATATTCACAAAGCCAGGGATGTGCGACGTCTTGTCGAATTGATCCTTTCTGCTGGCCTCCCTTTGCATGTATGGAGACAGCGGGTCACCTTCATTGTATTCCTCATCGGACCCCTTTTTGCATCCAAAAATTGGACGAAGCTTGAAAGTTTGGCTCACAAAGTGTCTTGCATCTGATTCAACGCGTCTTCTGTTTGGCTTGATCTCTTCTTGTAGGATGTGAGATATGTCTCCATTATTGGGAGCTTTCTGCTGATAATGAAGATATGAATACGTGAAAATTAAAACATTATTAGACCAGCATACTAGCATTTAAGAAGCGCTACTGCTCCATTTTTGATTTCTTTAATATATTGTAATAATGGAGTGCCTGTGGTTTTGGCGGGAACTTTCGTGCAGAACGCGCATGCTCATCAACCCAAATTTAATCATACACATTACGTCATAGCCATGTTGATTTACGATAACAAAGCATTCCTCATTAGCTTCTCTGGTTAGATCAATCAACATGGCGGCTGTTTCATTGTTATTGATATCTCAAGGGATTTTGAGTCACACGATTGCGTACACACTGTATACTCTCGTCTTAAGTAAACCTCATGACGTACCTCGTCTCTAGGCCACTGGACAGCGGTATCCATCAAACCAAGCAGGTGCTGACGTATATGAGGATACGATTCCAATACGTCATTCAATTCTTTGATCTTAATCACGTGACAGTCCACGCAAGCAGAAGCTCGTAGACTGATAACAGCTTTGGAACGAACATCTGACTGTCTAAGACTGATTCCAAAAGCATCCCCTTCGACTACAACAAATGATACATTCAGTCAAACGAAAGATCTTTTTTTAGTTCGTGAAATACCACTGTGTTCCATGATCACATATTTATTTACGCAGGGTTACCCGCGAATTTATGCAAAATATTTATGTTATCCAGTGAAGGTCTGTGGAGTTTCAAAGTGTTTGTATTGTTGAAGTTGTTTATTCTTTACTTTGCCGTTGGTATTTGTGAATATTTAGACACTGATACGAGGCTAACCCTGTGCAAATGAGTCTCTAGTCAAGGAACATAGCGGTATTTTACATATTCGAAAAAAGTCGTTGCAAATCTCAGGGTTTTTCATCGTTAATTCTCCCGTTAATAGAGCAGTTTTTGTATGCATTTGTAAAACGCACGGTCCGTACTTTGCCGTGACGTGACCGCGAAAGTACCACTTAATTGAGCGGTACTCTCGCTTGCACATATGTCGTCTATTCTATACTACAACCCCCATTGGACAATTCAAAAAAGTCAAGTCACAAAACCTACTGATAAAATGGTTGACTTTAAAACGTGAATGTTTACAACGCGAATTTATTTATGTTATTCTTACCCAATTTTCCTTTGGGGACTCCACTTGCAAGAATCTCAATCTTGCCTTTCTTGATAAGGTGTAGGGTATCCACCTCGTCTCCCTCGTATAGTATATAATGACCGGGTAAGTGGTGGTTACGACGCATGCGCATTGATATACTTCTTAGACAACTACTTTCAGCGTTAATGAACAGGAAAGAATCCGATAGAACTGTCAGGTGCATGTGTAGATGGATCTCGTATTGAAGGCCTTCAGGAAACTTTTTGAGAACCTTTAAAGAATTATCAGGAAGTTAAACTTCAACAGGAGGTTAAGATGGTTGGATCGGTAACATGGTGGGAAGGAGAGCTGAGCCGATAGAAGGCACATAACGGTATAAATAAATGGATAGACAGATTGATCAATAAATGGATGGGTGAGTGGATGAGATTGATGGATAGAATGTTGTGATGGGTGGGTGGTTCGGTGTGAGAATGAGCTGAGCCGATAGTAGAAGGCATATAGCTGTATGGATAGATGGATATTTTATGGCTGGCTACCTTGTTCATATCAGTGCCTTTAGTCTGTGACCACGTGTGTCTTGAGTACTCTCTTAGTCGTCGGGCAAGAGGGTTTTTGACCTTGAAAAAATGAATAAATTCGTTGATGGCCATTGATTCTTTTCTGTAGCGAAAATTGCTTGAATATTGACCATGAATTATCGCGGTCACATTTCCAAAGATCCCAGCATACATAACAGCTAAAAAATAAATTCATGAAATTAAATTAAATTAAATTAAATTAAATTAAATTAAATTAAATTAAATTAAATTAAATTAAATTAAATTAAATTAAATTAAATTAAATTAAAAATAAAAATAAAAGATGATAAAGCGGGGAAATAGTAAGGTATCGTAGTAATCAGCAACTTTTGACACTGCAAGAACTGATGAAGAAAAAGGTGATGATTGATGAATTCAGAAACAATGGGTGCAAGACTAGTATATAAGAAAACAGGAATAAGGCCACTTACATAAGCATAAGAGTGTACATCCTCACTGGGAAGTTCAGTGAGAGAATCATAAGGTAATAGCGATAGGAAAAGATAGATATCAAACAAGGACCAGGTCATCACTTAACTTTAATGTACTGTATCAACCCGTGCGCTTTTCCCCGAATACAAACAAAATCCTTACCTCCGAGTAACATCCCACAAATAGTGAATATCCTTTCGGCATTCGTGTTGGCTGAAACATTCCCAAATCCAACCGTCGTACACAAGGTCATGACGTAATACAATGACGTCAGATAACGTGCGCTCAATGAAGGGCCAAGCATAGGGTCACCTGAGAAGTTGAAAGGCTTGCCACTTTCGTCCGCTAGCTTATAGAGCCAAGAGGTGGATAGATGTTCGACTTCAGAAAAGCCAATGGCATACCAGGCACAGGCCATCCAATGAGCGACGAGCATGAAAAACATAAGCATTAGAAACAGTAGTGACGTCATGTACTCGTAGTTCCGATCCAGTTTCCTCGCGGCTCGGAATAACCGAAGTAGTCGCGCTGTTTTTAGGAGACTGAAAAGGGTGGTATTCTGTAAATAAAGAATAAGAAGTACAAGATTGAAGTTAGTCTTACTACACGATTGAATGTAATGTGAATTTATTTGAATGCAATCAGTGATGCCTTGGGTTGCAAGTTACCATTTCACTTTCACTTACAGATGTACTTATTCTATAGGTAACCTAACTTAGATTGCTAGAGTGCATTCCATACATCCGTGAACATTTTATCTAACAAAATTGTACAAATAAACGCAAAGTAGTGTGCGGTCTAATGAACTTACTAATTTGTGCAAATTTGTGCAATTTCTTACAAACGTTTTTCACATATATATGGTATTCACTCTATTCGACTGCCTTCTTCACATATTATGGTACTCTTACATTAATGCACATATTTAGTTGTTAATGTGGTGCATCCATTGGCACTGCACTACCAATACTGACGCTCGCATACAACTTTGCCAAGACACACTAAGAACAATGTAGTCCCCACCCCCTCTTGTCCCCTCAAAAGTGTCGACCGTTCATTTGCTAACGTTATATTTACCCCTTCATCATTAGCATTAATTAGAAGCTCCCAAGGAACAGCAGCGACGAGGTCCATCAAAAAGTAAGACTTCAAGTAATGGATAGCGATCTTGAATGGATTCGTTACGAGCGCCTCTCCTTCTTCCACGTACGTTGAGCGAAAGTTGAGCACAATATCGATCATGAAGATCACATCCACGCACAGGTCTGTGATGAGGAGAGGATAGGCTGATGGGTAGAGATACTTAATACTCTCAAAGGTGTGTCCTTTCACGTCAGGGCCTAGCAAAAAAAAAACAGAACACAAACATTATCTTATCGAATGTGAGGCGTTCTTCCATATTCACTGTTTGCAACAAGTTTCATGTTTGGTTTAAAAACCGTTCAAATAAGATTAAAATGGAAAAAGGTTGGTCTTCTAAACAATTAAAAGACCTAACCTAACAAAAGAGGTGCTTTACTAAGGGGCCATCAAAAAGCAGCTTCCAAATGGTATTACTATCGAATTTTTTGGCCTTCCCCTCCCCCAAGGGTTTCAAGGAGGACTGCGATTTCGATCCCCTCCCTATTGACAGGGTTTTTTTTTTTTTTTTGTAGATTCCATGTGAATGGACTACTTCGACGATACGTCGGCCATCTTGCCAGGGGGCAAAACAAAACAAAGATGACAGAAAATATATAGAGTTTCGTTTGTTTGTCTTTCTTTTATGGGTAAAGGTGATCGATGTGCCGTCTAAATTCATCTTGTGTTGTATTCTCTTGTGGTGAGCTGTTATTATTTACTGTAACAAAGCTTTATTTGCCCCTGGACTCCCCATTATCCTGGACGACTCTTGGCCACCCTGCTCTTTTCATTAAAAAGATCTTGATTTAGCAGAGAGGATGTATAATTTGCTAAAGCTAGTAGTGCGAAGAAAATGGCACCCCTCCCTCCCTCCTATCTAACCCCCCCCCCCYCYCCCCCAACCTTAACCCGGTAAGAGAGGATCTGAATGTAATGTTTTGTACAAAGCCATGCGTGTAGATCGGAACTCTCAACTTTGATGAGTCCTGTGGTCATTCTACCATCTGCTGTTTTTATCACACAGGCCACTTAGGAAGGAAAAGCACAAACAAACAAAGTTGACTATCTTGGGAACTGTCCAAGTTCAAAATAACAACGTCAGCTTCGGGAAATAAAGTCAGGATTAAATGTACCATCTGATTTTGACAGGTCAACAGTGTGAAGTCGAACCTCTTTAGTACGGAAATTCGCGGGGATTAAAGAAAGTGTCCGGATTATTCAGGGTTTAGCCAAAAATAATTTTCTGTTATGGGCTGCCTGAGTTTAAATGACTTCAATGCAATAAATATATTAGAACTGCCCCCTCAAAGGCGCGACGCTGGAAATCTCCGCTGTTTAAAAAAAAAAAAAAAAAGTCATAATAAACATCATTAAAAATTAAAAGAAAAATGCATAAAGACTCTGAATGTTTTAATAAACACTGTATAAAATGTCAAATGCCCTGTGCCCACGCGCTTATCACGTTGTTGACGAACACACACCTGGTTCGCGCCAATTTTTCAGAAAGGTCATTGATCTCTACAGAGTAAAAGTGTGATAAGTCCTAATAAAATCACAAGCGATGTGATTAGTAAACTGGTCGCCTAGCAAAGGAGTTGAAGCGGATGTGTGGCAAACAGACCCATGCCATGGCTAGGGTTATTTACACTTTTCGATGCTGAGTGGTATGACGTTCAATAAATACTAAAAAAATACTAGAGGGATAACAAAGAGAAGTTGCTGCAAGCATTCTTGCTAAACTAACAAAGATCGCATAAAAGCTTAGCATGGTGTCACTCGTATTTATGTAGAAATGACAGTATTTTTGTCCGCGTTGTCTTGACGATAGATAATGTTCACTTAGAATGAAAACAAGGATACTATAGGCGCAATTTCTAGACCGATAGAGGCTTGAAAGAACTGACCTTGAATTGGCCACGTTTTAAAACGCGTTATTTTTTCCATCGCTGAAAAGATATGCTAGTCCTAATAAATTTGAAACCTGAATTAGACGAACGTGCGGGCGGCTCGATAGTGAACCTTGAAAAATAGTCCATTACTCAAAAAAGCAATATTTCAGTTATCTTAAGAATTATCGCTAATTTACATCCGCTTGAGTACCTTAACACACATAAGAATAAGTATTTTCGATCTTAATTTTTGATCAATAAAAAATTTGAATCCTTAAAGTGTCTTAATCTTATCGTACCCGCGAAGGAACAACATATTTGTCTGATTCAAAACAAAATTCTTGGAAAAATTGAGGAAATGAAAAAGAAGATAATTTTGTGGTCAACCGTAGGCAAACTCATTTGTGACTTTCCCAGATAATGATCCTAAAAGCCTCGAGCTCTTTCCAGTTTACCGTTTACTAGCTTATTAAATTCGATTAATAGACGTGAGGTATCTCAAAAGTTATCTATATTCATCAGTTAGACAGGTGTTCCATTTGTCTTCTCTAGCTAATTGTAAAATTCATATAAAGCTTTTTTCTGTGTGCGTCACAAGTTTTGTGGAGCAATCGTAACTACTCTTGAATAAGTTCTAAACACATAAGCCATTACTCATGTTATTAGACATTTTTTACATTATATATATTATTCTAATATATATTTGTTTTCTGGCACCTTCAGCTAGTAGATAGTTAATATATATCATAGATTAAGAGGGTAGTCAAGTAGGTGAGCAATATAAAATGGGTTTTACTTTGCATATCATATTCAAACACCTTGGTTTTTCAATTCATTTATTATTTATTTTTTTATTTTTTTGGGGGGGTTTACAGTATTTTGGTCACATAAGATTCCATTATATTTTAATTATAGGAAACGAAAAAACTTAAATAAACTAAATAAACTTGGACAACCAATTCATTGGCTCGAGATGTCGGTAAAAAAATGAAACAGAAGAAATCTCCCTCGAAAACAACGATGCGACTGAACTACCGTGTGACGGCGATTAGAGAGAGAACAAACATATTCCACTCAAAAAAAAAAAAAAAAGAAAAAAAAAGCGATTTGTGAGTTAAGATAAGTGTTTTTCAAATGTATTATAGTAACGGTGTTTTTAGAAACGACTTCCGATTCTGTATATTCAATGAACGAGAACGAGAACGAGGAGGAAGAGGATGAGAAAATAAACAAAAGAAAAATATTAAAGGAAAGAATAGATAATGCAGTAAACTTTAAAGCAACTCTTTCACCTTTGTAGAAAAAATTAAAATAAATTAACTATCCTGCCTAAATTTATTCGATCCTGACGAATATTTTAGTAAAAAGAATAAAAGTTCAGAGTATTTATAATATAATAGTGAGTGTGGCTATTTCCTTTTCTAACGGAAAGAAACGAACGTTAACAATCATAAGTTTAAAATTGTGGTTCCATTATTCCTAGGCCCTTTGCATGAATTCCTAGACAAGTTCAATTTGAAGGACAAAACGATAGATTTTCAATCTCATGGAAATTGAAATCCATTGTCTGTCCTCTAAATTTGGCGGCTCTGGAATTTGATGCAAGGGGGCGATCTATGGTTAGTTTAAGGAGGTTTTACTATAATAACTTACGTTTCGACTTGTTTTTATCGACCTGTGTCATGACGAAGGAAGAAACAAGTGGCACTTCGACTGCAGTGTACAACACTAACATCATTATCATCCAATCCCAGGTGATTTTGAATAAACCATAATGTAGGATGATTCTATTTCGCATTTGAGGAGGAATTTGAAGCTTGTAGCGTTTGTATCTCGCCTGCCATCGCTTGAATGCGGCCATGACCTGCGATAAGAGATACAGGAAAATCGTTATAACAATTCAAAGTCACATCCTATGGCGATAATGTATGTTCTAGTTTGAACAAAGCTAATTATTTGCACAAGCCAAGCAGGCTGTTATGATCTAGACCAACTAAAAGTTCTTAATTCTAAGCTGTGTCAGCGTTAGTAAGAGCTTGTTGCACGGTGACTGAAGGAAGCGAAGAACTATAGGGTACTATGATGATTTTTGTCTTTGAATTTTTTTGTCACTTGTCGAGGCGGAAATTGAACTACACAGGCGTCCGCTCTTCAAAAGAAAACAGGTGAGATTCAAACATTATTCGCTCAAAAAAGAGAATAGCTACTCATGTATAATTTAATGAAGTCTTCTGGCTTACTACAAGATTAATGTCCGACAAGTATCGCGTTTTAATGTAATCTTTCTCAAGGTCTTGCAATTTTGCAAGCAATAATCACATCACGGACATAAGAAACGATTTACTGATCTCCCAAGAGAAGGGATATTTAGGCAAGCTAAGCCAGCCATCGATAGTTATAGTTTAACGAACTAGATCTATTGCTATACTTAATATCTTTTTGTAAAACGCCGTCTGGTCGCGAGCACTGAAATATAGACAGAATGAGAATGGCTTTGTTACAAACTATGATTACTCATAAGTGGATTTTAAGGCCGAAAAGTGGGCGACTAAAGTTAAAGCAAAATCCTCAGCCCTAACAACCTTGCCAATCATACTGCGTTCGTTTACATAATTTACGGGAATCTTACACATCAAGCCTGGAGATCCTCGGCACTTTTATGCGTTAAGTGCAGTAAATATTCGAACAATAGACCGGAAATTTCAGGTAAAAAAGACTTTTACATTAAGATAAGTCACACGAAGTTTCTGTTTTAACAAAAAAAGCTGCCAGTTTTTTATGTTTAAGTGAAAAAAGCGAGTGTTTTCACACTTACGAAGATAGATTAAGTGACTTTAAGTTATTCAAAAAAATACTAGATTTTATATTTATTTACACGTCTTCAGTTTTGCCTAGAAAATGATATCGACTGCACTAGTGATGACAAATAATAAAACCACTCAATTGTACCAGTAGGATATGAGGTGAAAACAAAAAACCATTTTCCAAAGACTGTTCGAGCTCAGTGTGAATATACAAAACAAAATATAATGTTCGTACAAAAACTAGCAAAACAAAAGAACATGAATTATATTAAAGAGTGTCCAAATTTAAAATATAATAAGTTTCTTGTTAAGATACCTACCATGTTGACCGCCATTAAGAGAATTTTCATCCAAAAAAGCTGGTTTGAATAACGGTTCTGTTGTTTGGTTTACGAGTCGAGAATATATGGCAAGAACTCATCGCTACCGGGTAAAGTAAAGCTAATTAAGTTGATAATAAATCACGTGATATGGATGGCATCTGATTAGCTGAAACCTAGCTACTAGTTGTCATTCTTCCTTTTTTTAATATCTTATTCCTTCATATTTTTATTTATTTTAGTTGTTTAATGAATTCGTTTATCGATTCAGTAAGCTATTCTTTTTATCAGGATCAAACAAATCGAACGAGAATCTTTGAGTCACACCCCATGTTTTTGCATCTTTTCATAAAAGCAAAGAAATAATTCTCAAGAAAATGCAATGTGCCATCATAATTCTCAAAAAAGCCATTTCAAAATGTTTGACTATTTTCTATTTTGCAATTAAAATGTTATCAAAAAAAACACAACAACATCATGAAGCAACAAAAAATGAAAACAAAAAACAAAAAACGAAAAACAAAAAACAAAAAACAAAAAACAAAAACAACAAAAACAAAACAAAACAAAACAAAACAAAACAAAAACAAACAAACAAACAAAAAACAAACAAAACAAAACAAACCGAAACAAACAAACAAAAAAGAAACAAAAAAAACTATAAATCATGAAATATCGCATGGTCGATTCTAGTCATTCATTCGAACAACATGAATCACGGTTTTTCGGGTTGTAATCGGGACCGTCGAGCGAAATTTTCGGCACATCGGTTAGTAGTCGGAAAATCTTAACTTCCCGAAACCGAGAAGTATTTTGAGAGTCAGCCCACGCGTGGAGACAAAGTTAATTTTTTTGTTTTTAAAAAACAGGAAGAAAAACAACTCAGTTGTTTAAGGCCCCGAGGCAAGCGCTTTGGTTCATGGATGGTTTGGACATGAAAGCCAAAAAAAAAAAAAAAAAAAAAAAAGAAAGAAAGAAAGAAAGAAAGAAAGAATAAATAAACAAAACAAAAAACGAGGCAGCCATGTGTAATTGAAAATCTTTAGATAAATTAATTCAAACAGCATCCTGGTTATGAAAACTAGCCAATCACTGAATGAATGGGCTTTCAGTGCCAAGATAAGATTAAGAGCTAATCGATCTCATCGAGCCGCCTATTTTTCAAACTATGTTTGTGTTAGCTATCATAGAGATGTTTAAAGATCGAGATATAAACCTTCTCCTCTGCTGGCGGCTCTTACCAGAAAATAGACTAACATCTTCCTGTCCCCACCGCTGAAAGGGGATATATTTGACTTCCTGTCCCCACCCCTGATAGTGGATATAATTTACGTCCTGTACCTACTTCTTGCCGCATCTCATAATATGAAAATGGTCAGTCTTAGCATCTGTCTTCCTACCCCCGCCGCATATACATTGTCACACTCTTACTTTCCGTGTCAGTACCTTATTGAGCGGTTTACAATTGTCAAAGTAATTCAATTGTTATCCAGACGGTGAACGAGTTATCCGTCACTTGAACTTCAAATTCATTAAATGATTCAGCTAATCATACAAGACGCACGACTATAAAACGTACTTACGTCAATATTCATTCTAATTTTATCAGTGTCGTTGTTGTCAAAAATATCGCCCGCAGTTCTTGGGTTTTCATGCAAATATAGTATTCGTCAGTATTAAGCCTATTATCCTAATTGGTCACGTTTGGGTGTTAAAAAAGACAGAGAACATTTTGACAAAATTCAGAAACCCATTTAACGCCCTAAAAAGCCTTTCTTAAACTTTAGACTCTTCTGCCTCTGAATTCTGGATGGTTTTTTTTACCCTGTGTCTAGTTTGATTTCGGTGGAACGCAATCACCTATTGTACGATCGATAGATCACTCACTCTCCAGCTGTTAATTCTGTTCGTCTTCATACTAGTAAAATATTCACACTGACTAGCTAGATGGTTTCCCAATCCGTGTAAAAATTCACGGAATTCTGGTGCTGGTAGAATTGTTCTGCTACAATTAGTACTGACCATAATTGTATCAGGAATAGCAAAGTGCTAAAATCGGTGTTCCGCGGAAAAGATTTTAAAAAAATATTTAGAATAATCAAATTAGCGCTATTAATCTTCAGGAAGATATAAACCCTACTTGAAGTGGGGTTTTTTACTTATTTATTTTTATTTTTTTCGTTTTCCAGATTTTGTACTGTCAGTAACACACACTAAACAACAAATCTTGTCCAAGTCTGAAAGCCTTCAACCTTTTTCGTCTTAGTATCAACGCAGACTGAGGCTAGACATATCGCTCGTGGTCTGCTAACGTGGTGCACTTTATACTTACATTTTTGGTTCGGTTTAAAAATAAAACAGGACACGTTCATTGCTTTTAATTTAGAGGAACTTGAATGCAAACGTGTTAATGAGATTTCTTGTGTTTCCAGACCGCATTATCATTCACGACATGAGATTTTAAAAATATACTTTAAAAAAAATAATATAACAAAAGATCTTCCTTCCCAAAAATGAAATTGAAAATTACTTACAAGGTATAACACGTCTTTAAGAAATGTGTTATCTAAAATGCATTAGGATAAACAATGAAAACAATTCCTAAACTTTTCATGAAGATGTTAGAATGATTCTTACTTGTGTATAGATTGTAGGCTCTTCGTCTTCAGGGAATTTCTTCCTTGCGCCGAACATCTTTTCTCTTGCTTTCTCAACGGAAGTAATATTTTTTACTAGAAATATATTTTACTACAATGAAACTCTCATCTAGATGCGCTCAGAATCGATTCTTAATAATATTGAGTAAGGAATTCAAGCAGTTGATTGGTACTCTTTTCTTACAAATTGTACTTGTGTTGGTAAACCATTAGTAACATATCCAAGCCTGAGATATCAGAAATGAAACCACGTCTAAACAATCACACCCCTCTAAGAGATGATCATGATTTTGGCATCACCTTGTAACAGGTTTGCACCGCAAATAACCTAATGTCCTGCATACGAGATTATGGAACCCACAGAACAAAGAAGACGCGGCCGTGAGGCTCTCAATAACAAAAGAAAAAAACTATTTTGGTTATTTAGATCGATAAGAAAACCAGAAACAGACAGTTTCGTGCTTTTAAAGTGTGAGGGGCGAGTTGACACTCATAATAAACGAGAAAAGCGCGTCAGCCATAATGGAAAAAAAAACCATAAAGATAAGCGTAGTGCCTTCAAACCAGATGGCTACTACTTTTTCTAATTAACAATAAATCCATAAATGTCTTCTAATATTTCACGTAAGGCACGTACGTAAACATAAAGGTAGTTAAATTTCTTACGGATCAATGCAAAATCATGTAGTCTTAATTCAACTATCTATTTGTATTTTTATTTATTTTTTGGATCTTTTTTTTTCTTCAAAATTGTCTTTGAGCATGTAACCATTTAACTCTGTATATTCATAATTTTATTTATAATCTGCGATTAGCATGCGCAAAGCACCTGTGCCATGAGCTATAAGAATGAGATAATAATAAAGTTTATCAATATTATTATCATTATTATCATCGCTATCGTCGTAGTCGTCGTCATTATCATCATCATTATTATTATTATTATTATTATTATTATTACTATTACTATTATTATCATTATTAGGCTGCCATATTGTTTAGAAAACGCCGAGAAAGGCAATCCAAGAAGGGGGCTACATTTATTGCTTTTAGTGCAACAGATCCATTCTAATTTTTAATATTTTTTTTACAGAAGACTGACGTCTCAGAACTATATTTAAAATATCTGCACATATATTTCTTGGTTCACATTTTTAGCGGACGAAAGAAAAAAAAACCGACTTAAATTTTTTTGTTTGTTTGTTGTTTTTTTTTTTGTTTCTGTACTTGTTATATACGCGTTAGTGACTATTTCTTGTGTGATATAAAAAGATATAATCCATATTAAATCCATCGAATGTCTATAATAGATAAGATAGCATTTCAAAGAGAAAACCTATAGCGTCAATAAGTCTTTATTGGTCGTATTAATGGCACTTTCCCAAAGCAATGTTCTAAGAATTTTCAGACATTAAGGCGCTTATGAGTTATTATTGAACGAGATTGCTCGATTTTTCACTACTAATTATTTACTTCCTTTGAGCTTTTCTCGTCTCTTGCCTTCGAATACACCGTTTTTCTAATAATGGATAAAGGAAATAAAATGCATTTCGAGACAGGTTTTTTAATAAGGAAAAAACGAAGTAGCCTTGAGGGTTTTCTGGATGACTTCGGCCACGACACTCGGCCTTTATTGCCGAAATGAAGTCAAAATCAAAATCATAGCTAGAAAATTTGCAAAAAGAAATGACAAAAGAAAGACGATGGAAAAAATCCAAGCTTATGAAAAATATTTCAGTCGTATGAGATCAGATAAAATTAAAAAATATATATTTAATAGTACAGACTTTGTAAGTGAGATATTTTTTAATATATTGTTACTTCAAATTAAAGCTATAAGATTTGAAGATACAATGTTTCGCTCCTTGACTTATCCACCTTCGTTAGCGAACACAGTACACATTTTATAGTTCTAATAGGGGAGGATAATATATATATATACGTGTATAAATAAGCCTTTGTTTTTGCCCGTTCAAACTCGTCCTTCAGCACTTGAATGCGAGGCTTGCCGTCCAATGACGTATTGATCCAACCAAAATGGCGGCCGAGTGAGAAAGGTCTTCTATTCACTAGTATTAAAGAAGGATGCAGCTGCACAATATTGAATCCTTTCAAATTGACGTCTTTTATAGTTCGGGGGAAATGAAGCTCAGTATAACCTGTCTAGTTTTAATAAGATTTAAAGCTGTTGTAGAGACRAGGTTTCTTAACCTTTTTCTTCTGTAATAACCTACGAGAACTATCGGCAGAGTAAAATAAGATTGTGCAATTGCAGTAACTAAAGATGAAAATTTCTCGAGAAGGCTCTTCATGCTAATAGCCTTGTTTTTCAGCATAACCAACCGATTTTTTTTTTTCTATGACAAGATAAGCGAACAGAAGTAGACAATGTTAAACCTGTGTTTACATTGCTTAAGAAGTTATGGCAACATTAGTCTAGTGTATTGCAAATTATCATGAATTATACGAAAACGTCTGATGTCCGTCATGTTCAGGAAATACTTTATCTTGTAAGAGACAACKTTAAAAGCTCTTATATCGTAAAAAAGCTCTTTGGATCGATGTATAGCAGCAGAGCTATGATTGATGGATGGATGCATGGATGGATAGATCGTTCGTAAATTATTATCAATTTAGTTTATAGTGCGCAAATATCAATCAATTTAAAGTAATTTTCAAATGCGTTCGTTCGTTCGTTCGTTCATTTATTTTATTTTATTTAATTAATTAATTAATTAATTAATTAATTAATTTTTGTTTCTCTTTTCCTCTCTTCGTTTCTTTAACGCCTTTTTTCCATTTTTGCTATCTTTTCCTTGGCTTTCATTCCTAACACTCCCCATCACACACCCTTTTGTCTATTCCACAGCTAGAATTGTTTTTAGGCAAAGCTTTAAGAAAATGATTTCCATAATCAGCTTCCTTTACTGATTTAGTTTACTTATACTTGACCACATACCTCTCCCATATTCAAGCGCACGTCTACGTTTTTAAGACTCATTACTTTCAATTTTTTCCACAACGTCAATTCGATCCGACAATTAATTTTTTGTCTTAGAAACTTCCAGTATTTTTAAATTAAATCGCAGATATTTTAATCTTGGATTTCTTTAACTCCCTTATAAGTTTGCAGAGAAAATTTTTAATGAACCACAAAGTCTAAGCAATTAAAAAAGCAAAACTTTAAGAGACTTCAGAAAATATTAGATGTAACGTGGGCCAACACGTCGCAATGGTTAACCGTTAGAGGTTGCGAGTCTTGGTTAGTTCAGTTTGATTTGGACTTTACTGAATTTACTCCATTTGATATTTTAACTAAAATCAACTTACTTCTGTGAGGGGGGAAATGAAATAACATTCGTTGCTCTGTGTAATAAAATGGTGGCTGTAGCTTGTCCCTAACAAAATAGCAGCTCTATATAGAAACAATTTATCACTCACAGAAATGTACGAAAAAGTCACTTGACTTGCATTTTTAAATTAAAAAAGGTAAAGAAAGATAAATGCCTATTGTTTTGAATTCGGCCACATACTTTGATGGTGTTTGTTCTTTCATTTCATAAACGCAATCAAATCGTCGAAACAATCACTTTAGAAGCCAAAAACTAAACTACATTAATGAACTTTGTTATGAATATTTTTGTCTAAAAACTAACAAATGCATTCTTATTTTAAAGCTGTAATTTACTTAGACTTTCACAAGAAATAACAAGAAAATCTAATACAAATTTAAAATAACTATGTACAGCAGCAAAGCTGTTTATTGTGTTAAAAAGGTGTAAGATTATATAACTAATAGCATCAAATCATAATCGTAGTTATATAGGAAAACCATCCATATTTATCGTTGCTGCATGGTCTTCCTGTGTTAAAAGAATCACCAGTCCATGGTGCTATAATTAACTCATAACCGTCCATTTTAAACACTACTATGCACAAAACTATACTACATTTTTAAACACATACCAATATAAAAGATTCCAAGCCTGATTCAAAGAAGTGTCGCACAGTTGCAGATCTACAGGCGAATCAGTTGGTCATCGTTAAATAATGAATGTCTTTAGTACATTAGCATATATCAAGTCAAAATGCGACAAGATTGTATTACATACCCCAGAACAGAAAAAGGGAAAAGTGCTAACGAGAAAGCTAGAGGTTATCAACAAAATTAACGGATGAAAAATTAAGATCCGGTAAAAAGAGCTATTTAGGCGATTTTTTCTTTGATGGCGACCGATTTAATGGTTTTTGGGACTCTAGTAAGAAAATGCTCTACCGCTGTTGAAATATCCGGTGTTCTTAGAGAGAGAGAAATAAGTGAGTTTGTAATGCATTTCAAAATGTCTAGAAAATGGGATGAGCAAGCTTAAATAAAGAAAACATATCTACGAAAACAAAGTAAGAGCCTTTAGAGATCATAATCATGATTGATGTGAAATCAGTTATCTTYGTTTCTGACGGGCTTCAAATCAAAACTGAAGAATATTGATGAGACCATGGATTAAAAGTAAAGTGAAAGCGTTAGATTTGGGTCAGAATTTTGTGCCTAACAACCTGGTGTCCGTGTCCGTGAAACACAATAGATATGAAACCTATATATAAACCTTTTCCTTAACTAAATCTTCAAGAATATATTCTTGCTACTTTTTGAAATTTTAATCCTGTAAAACGCAAAATTAAACAAACGTTTCTTGAAAAAAAAATTGAATATAACTCGACCTGATGCAAGCATGTGGTTACGCGAAAAAGCCACAGAAGAAGAAGAAAACGATTTCAGATGATAGACTGAATTGGGTCGTCACGAGTTAAAAATAACATGAGAATTAAGGTTTAGCATGATTTTCAGACTGTTTTTTAAAAAAATGTCTTTACAAAACGGTGGAATAAAACGAGTTATTTTTACTGGTGTTTAGGACGTAATGTCTGATTGAAATTTTGGTTGACAAGTCACCAAATATAGACGAGCATGTTGATGAATACTATCAATATAATATGACTTCAAGTCACTATTAGTAATTCTAAAACGTTTTACAGCATAATAAAGACAGCTTTTAACCTAAACTTTCCCGCACTTCAGTGGAAAGAAAAAAGATTTTATAGATTGAATCTCTTAATGGTGTGCTAAGATTTTCAGTGCCAATGCGACCATTGCGTAAAGTGTGATTTTGAAAATATAATATTTGTACTTTCTATAAGAAAAACTATATGAATTGCATTTTAGATTGGAATAGAATAGCTCATGAAATCAAAGCTTTAATTTTAGTATGAATTTGGTGGACATAAAGCAATACTTCTTTCCTAGTACTTGGCAGAGAACTGCAG